CCAGAAAGCTTTTATCGTGCTTTTTCGGTACGGTCGTCGACATAAGCGTGGGCGGCCTAATTCCTGCGGCTGTCGTTTCTGCAACGTACGCGTCCGATCGAGTCCGATCGAGTCCGATCGACTCCGACCGAGAAACTGGCCCCGCACGGATCCCATCAAACTCCCACGAGATCGGTCCCCGATCGACGTTTTTACGAGATCCTGAAGTCCACGCTAGAATTTCTTCGCAAATGTCGAAACCAGACAAAGAGAAAGAAAGCGAGGGAGAAAGAGAGAGATGGAGAGAGAGAAACAGAGTTTGTTGATGCGGAAACCGAAATGTTTAGACCGAGAATCGACAAGGGAGTCTAGGATACATTGTTAGTGGGATAGACAGAGTCTAAAGGTCGTGAATGAGACGATTGTTCGTGTGATAGACTCCGATGCGAGACTTTCGAGAGCGTCAGTGTTATCGGACAGGCTGCTCTCAAGATCGAAACGTTTTCGACGATGTTGCTTTCGGGTACTGATCGTTCAGAAATGTTTTGTATTTACGAGGACCGTTGTTTGGACGATGCACATGGGTTCCGAGAAGCTTTTGGCGTGCTTGCGTACGGGAGATGGATGGAACAACGGAAATATTGAGTATAAATCATCGCGTAGCTGAGATCGGTAGTTTCTGCATGCGAGATGGTATAATCTACTATTAAACGTTATTCAAAATTGATAGGATTCGAGTCTTAGGCAAGTCCAGCTGTATTAGACATAAATGTGCGATTCTGTACGATATTAATGAAAGTCTTTGAAGGTACAATATGTTTTCATTATTGCATTCAAGTTCTGCAGTTAAAGTCACGGTTGAATGGACAAACAAATATTATGAACGAGCACGCGGTAAGATAGTGGACATCTGTCCAATCAAATGAAGAATGCTTCATTCAAGGAGATTCGATTCGATGTAAAGAAATCCTGATTCTTTCCATCGCCAAATGCGATGAGGCTCCGTGGGCAATATTTCATCGCGCGGATGGTTGCAGAACTTCTCAATTATTGGCACACGACTATTACATAAATTTTGCGCGTACTATATTAGCTCGAATACGCGGCGAGCTTCGCGGAAATTTACAAATTTAAATTCCTCGGAGGCCGGTGCTGCGGCGGCCGCGTCTGGACCGTGGTCGCCGGTAGAAAGCCGGTCTTTCATCGGGAGCCGCGTCCGCGAAATGAAAAGGACACACGCGCGATATTTGCGAAACGACCGGGTAGGTTTGCACAACCACAGAAACGCCGAATTACCGATAAATAAAAATTTTGCCGTGTATACACCTAACCTTCTGCGGCGACCGTTCGATAATTGGTGCCGCGGCGGGATTAATGCTTTTAGATAGCTCGTGGAACCGTTCTCCGAGAGATAAGCAGACGGAAAGTAGATAAAAACTGAACGATCGATTTTCCTCAACTTTGTGGATCGTGCCGCGGCAACGTTTTCGGAAGCGGCGATACGATAACGTCTTGGGAGTGTCTCTGGCGTTACTTAATTCTTTCAACTCGAAGACTCCGGAGCCATTTAAAATTCGTCATTACACTTGTAAAGTTTTATCATTAAATGTATTATAACAGTTATATCTGTAATCGATAAAAAACAGTAAAATGCATCTATGACTTTTCTTTTCATGCGCGTATCATTTATTTATACGTTAATATGTTTTCTTTTTTAAATTGCTTCTAGTTGCTGGTAATATTAATGAGGAAAAGCTTCGAGTGCAAAGGTTAACACGTTCGCGACTAGCGTTTGTGTCAGTAGCAATCAGTAGCATCATATCGCCTTCATAAAATGTAAGTAAAATTCGGGAAAGAAATCTCGCCAACTTTCAACACGTCACACTATGTATCAGGATTTCAAATATAAATAGACGTGAAAGTAATTGAATTTTCTTTACGCAAGATACAGAATGGTATGAATATATGTCACTGATTGCGAAAAGGTTAACTCCTGTTACGCTATCATTGAAATTTTACAAATACTTTCGCGGGGAATGCTAAGAATTCGATGAAAAGTGGTATATGGAAAGGAAATACAGTTTTATGATTTTTTTTTTAGTAAATTATGGAGCGAATAATTATTTGGATAGTTTAAGCCTGGATGGAACATTTCATATCCGTATAATTAATTGAAATGAGATTAATAGTAATCAAAATTTTGTACGATTTCATTGTATCGTGTAACAAATACGAAGATACACAAAAGTACAAAAATATAATACGTTGAAACGCTTTAATTGCTATGGGCGCATATATGAGTCCAGCAAAAGTCATCGCTGTGAATTACAATTACAACTTAATCACGCATCGCATGAATTCACATACTTTGTCGATCTTTAGACGACAAATTAAACAAAAAAGTATTCCGTTCGTGCAGAACATTTCGGCTGGAAGTATTCAGCGCTCAAAGTTTTCAAGAAAGAAGAGAATAAAGCTGCGAATACGCGCAGCGAGGAAGCAATAAAAGAGGCAAACGATACGTAAATGAAGGTGCGAAACAATTTTTAGAGTTCCAAGAACTTTTTCCGTTCAATCTTTGGGACTTGAAGAATGTTCCGAACGAAGATTCGAGATTTTCGCGAGATCGAAGACTCCTCGAATCTGATGTCTCGCGACAACATGGTGAAGGTCACGATAAGTTTCCGGGGCGTTGTTCGACGGCAATTTCGCGGATTTACGGCCGTTTTTTCTTCTTTCTTTTTATAAACACTGTCCGGGGACCGTGTGTTAACAGGCGTCGCCGGGAATCGAAGGAACGTTGCGCCGCGCCACGGCGGACGCGCGAGGAAAGAAATGCGAGGCAAGGACGTCGTAAAAAAATGCATGAAGGGAAACGACGATAAAGCACGAACCTACCGGAGAACAATATGCGTCGTCGGCCAAGGAGAGAATGCGTGCGACGAAGGTGAGAGGTCGACGCAACGGAAAGAACATAAAAAAAAAGAGAGAAAGAGTTCGCGGAGTCAACGCCTCGAGACACGCCGCTCGAAAATCGACGGACCCCGAGACGCCATCTTGTCGCTCAACCTTATAGGTCGAACGGTTCAAACTATACGCATTTTGATTTTTATTCTTGAACCTAACTTAACAATCGTTCGAATTTGTTTTAAAATGATTTTCGTGAACCCTATATTTCTAGAAAAAGATTTTTCTTTCTTCTAAATCTATAAGGTTGATGTATAGAATATATTTCTGTAGCTAGTGCGTCGAGGTGGTCTCTCAATCTTGCACTGTATCGCTAAAAAAAGATAGTTAACGAGTTCAAGGAAACTGAATTGAAAAATATAGAAATTTCCTGCGGCTGTCTTCTGTAACCGAACGGTTTTAACGGAATTGCAGATCAAATTCTAGTCCTTTTGCGTTTAGAAAGCTTCCTTCGTGATTGGAGATCTACTTTTAAAGACGAAGGAGTATACGAGAGGAAGATAATGAAATTTGAAAAAGTTCTTTTCCAAGACTCATGTGGAAATTTGCGCCCTAAGGCGGAAAGTGGAAAGATTAAAAAACGGAGACAAGGTGGAAAGGATTAGAGAATACGGTTTCGTAACTTGTCGAGGAAGATTGAGTGCGACTACATTAGTCAATGTCACGAACGTTACTGTTCGTAACGTAGGAATTAGGTTGGCGATCAAGGCGAGGGGAGAGAGGATAATCAAGATTAAAAGAGGCCCATTGAAAAGCCACGGCGTTACTTTTACGGGCCGGCATGGCACAGTGAATCGAAGCCGAAACAATAAGCCCACGGCAGCAGGAGGGACGGGAGGATATTATGGCGCTATCCGTCCCAATTATGCGACTTTAATTACGGCAAATTACTTTGCCGGTGCCTCGGAGCGTGACGGCAACGAGCCACCCGCCGGTCGGACGTGTATCATGTTGAACAAACTGCGAATCGCTTTCATGAGGATTGCTTAGATCCCTAAACAGTTCGGTCTGAAATAAACGCAGAAGTTCAGACAAAAGACGCCCACACTTTAAGCTAAGCTCTGGATTCTGAAATTACTAAAGACAGTTGTGCGAACAAAAGGATTTGGAATAACAATGAAGAACTGGTTCTTAATGCTAGAGCCACCGAGCAGTCGAATTAACTTTTCTAAAAATCTTTTTACGGGAATTATAAGAGTGCATTTATTAGGATATCCATTGACTCAAATTG